GTTCCACTGTTGAACAAATCTTACTGTCAGAAAGTTCTTCCTGATGTTTAGTCAAAATGTTTAGTTGCCGACGTCTCATGATTGTTTTCTTTGGAATTGTAGACTCAGGCTAGATGTGATAATGGGAGATTAATAATAAAATAATAATAGGTCAATTGCAGCTGTGACCGAGAGGATGGATTTCCCTTCCCCCTCACAACGTTTTCCTGAAGAAACCGACCCTTTCAAAACACCCACGAGGCAATTCTATGTTTTGCCCCTGGGGTAAAATAGCAGCTGTGGGTGAGGTGCAATTTTCATTGGAGGGGGAAATTGCATTGTGGGAAAGGATTGAGATCCACAGTGGAAGGGCTGTAAATCACTGAGCAACTGCTTGGCATGTAGAAGGTCCCAGGTTAAATTCCTGGCATCTCAGGTTGGGATGGGGACTACCCGCTGTTAGACAGTGTGGACAATAGCAAGCTGGATGGATCAGTGGTCTGACTCAGTAAATGGCTGCTTCCTACAGCGGCAGCAAGAGGCCCCATTAGCGAAAGCACGCCTCTAGTTCAGAACAGTTTCAGGTTAAGAACGGACCTCCAGAAGGATGGAAGAATGAAGAAACCCCGACAAAAGATCAGTGGCAAGGGAAATGGATGGATTCTGCAGAACTGGCAAAACTGACATACAAATTGCGTGACAAGGACAACCGTGACTTTAAAGAACGATGGGAACCTTTTACAAACTACTTAAGAAAACCAACAAAATGAACTGGACTCCTTGGCAGGTTTTGAATAAACATACACAAATGTATTGTTGTTAAAATAACAGATAGATATTTGGAGGATCTTTACATCTTTATTGTATTTTAGTGTTTTGTTGGAAGCTGCCCAGAGTGGCTGAGGAAAGCCAGCCAGATGGGCGAGTTAAATAATAAATTATTATTATTATTATTATTATTATTACATGCAGAGGATGATATGTGTTAAAAAATCAGAGAGAGGAACTGAAGGAAGTCATAGGGGAGAGAAAAAATGGGGGGAAATATAATGAAGATGATTTGTTGGAATAATTGTTATGTGTAAACATTCAATAAAAAATTTATAAAGAAAAAAAGAACGGAACTCCAGAACGAATTAAGTTCATAACTAGAGGTACCACTGTATGTCCATGTCTGGTTGCGCCCTCGGAAACTTTCAGCCATCAGAAGCTGTCAAATCAGATTCCATTGCATGCCAACCACCAGAATGCAACCGTGTACTCAATTCTGAGGGGAGAAGCACTTTAAACACGGCAAGGTAACTCGAGTCTATGGGATCGGCCGAGGTAAATTCAACCGGCAGCCGGACAGAGAGAGGCGAAGCTTTCTCTCGATTCAGAAGGAATTCAGAATCCTGTCAGTCCCCTTTCCCCCTCCTGGTTTCCATTTTACAGGGAATGGCGCTCTCTCCTTTGTCTCTCCAACAAAGTGCCCTTTCGTGCATCTGCTATTGATTCTGCTCCTTCCTCTGTGGTCTGCAGTGTCATGTCGGTGAGGCTCCCAACATCCACTGACCTGGAAATCAGGAGAGCCTCCGTCGCTGTAGCAAGACATCGCCGGGCTCCCACGTGGTCGCCGGGAAAGGAAAGTCGCCTTGAGTCACTTGCTCTGTCCAATTTGCTTAACTCCGTGATGTCACTCACGTCAAGTTACGCTGTGCTTTCGCTACACACTCCGCGACGCCCTGTGGGTTTTGTCTTCGTGGAAGAAGCCACAAAGGCTAAAAAGGAGAAATCGCATTCAGGATGATTCAAGTCCTAACCTGTGCTTCCAGTTGGCTTTGCAAGGCAGCTGAACCAAACAGACCCGATCTTGTTTGGTTCGGTTCGTCAGATAAGGCGTGGCAGAGCATTGCTTGGCATGTAGAAGGTCTCAGGTTCAATCTGCCTGTCATCTCCAGGTAGGACTGGGAAATGTCCCTGCCTAGATCCCTGGAGAGATACTGTCAATCAGTGCAGGCCGTGATGAGCTAGATAGGTGAAATATACTCGGAGTCGAGAGTGGATTTCATGCTCTTTATTCAGCTCATAGTGGTGAGGAGGAATGGAAGTTCCCCTGAAATGTCTGCTTTATATACATTATTTACACAATGGGCCGCACATGATTGGCTAATTCCAGGATTCTCCTATAAGCCAATCAGGTTGCGGATTCACTTCCACCTGGAGCTGGATTGGGTGGCTCCTGTGGACCAATCAGACTGCTGCATTATGAATCCTATGGTTCTAGGACCAATCAGACTGCTGCATTCTGAATCCTATTGTTCTAGGACCAATCAGACTGCTGCCTTTTGAATCCTATTCAACTCAGTACATAACAGACTGGGAGATCCCTGGAGAGATACTGCCGGTCAGTGCAGGCCATGCGGAGCTAGATAGGCCAAATGCCTGGCACGATATCAAGTAGTTCCCTGTATGCCTATGCTATTTCCATCCTCCAGCTCTCAGGTGAGTCTTTGCAGATGATGCTTTCCCTCAGTTTCTACACTGCTGTTGGAGAAACTGAGCCCTGAAGAGTTTTTAAATGGTTGGTTCTTGAAGTTGATAGGGTTATGTTATGTACTGAGTTGAATAGGATCCAAAATGCAGCAGTCTGATTGGTCCTAGAACAATAGGATTCAGAATGCAGAAGTCTGATTGGTCTGCAGGAGCCACCCAATCCAGCTCCAGGTGGAAGTGAATCCACAACCTGATTGGCCTACAGGAGAATTCCGGAATTAGCCAATCACGTGCAGCCCATTGTGTAAATAATGTATATAAAGCAGACATTCCGGGGGAACTTCCATTCCTCCTCACCACTATGAGCTGAATAAAGAGCATGAAATCTACTCTTGACTCCGAGTATATTTCAGGTTAGGAGGTTGTTAGGGCCTGGGCTAAGTTACGGGCATAGGCACCAACTTCTAGTAGCCCAGGTTTTCCTTTGCCCCTCAAATACTTTATTTGAGGGGATGACCCCCCCCCCCAGCTGATGGGCATTGCTGCCTTTCTGTCTTTTCCACGTTTGGACTTTATTCCCAACGAGCCCTATAAACAAACTTATAAAAGGGCTGCTGGGTGGCAAGAGAGCTGGGATTGGGTAAAAACTTCCAACAACGTTGCTTACTGCCCTTGACATTAGAGAGAGAGAGAGAGAGAGAATGCAAACTGTTTGCCCCATGGGGCAGGTTCACAGAGCTCTGCTAAGACGAGAGAAGAAGTCACTCCTGGTTTCTTATCATTTTTAAAACAATAAACTAGGAGCGCCTACTTCAGATGACTTGGAGGCTAAAGCTCCCCACCTGCGTTGTTGGGGTTGTTAATCCACCCCTTTACCCCAAAGATTCCACTGCGGGTAACAACACTTAAAATACAATATTTAAAAGCAATTTAAAACAACTTACAGTCACTGGAGGGACGCGGGTGGTGCTGTGGGTAAAAGCCTCAGCGCCTAGGGCTTGCCGATCGAAAGGTCGGCAGTTCGAATCCCCGCGACGGGGTGCGCTCCTGTTGCTCGGTCCCAGCGCCTGCCAACCTAGCAGTTCGAAAGCATCCCCGGGTGCAAGTAGATAAATAGGGACCGCTTACTAGCGGGAAGGTAAACAGCGTTTCCGTGTGCTGCGCTGGCTCGCCAGATGCAGCTTGTCACGCTGGCCACGTGACCCAGAAGTGTCTCCGGACAGCGCTGGCCCCCGGCCTCTTGAGTGAGATGGGCGCCCAACCCTAGAGTCTGTCAAGACTGGCCCGTACGGGCAGGGGTACCTTTACCTTTTTACAGCCACTGGAAATCAGGTGGGTCCTAAAACTAGGCCCAAGCAGGCAAATGCATAATTTTGCAGCCAGCCCTCATTGATTTTGGGTCTGGGGTGGGCAGGTAAGCAAGCCAGATGCCCAGAAACTTGGGCTTGGACAGAGTTTTGTTAAAAACCCATTTCAGCTTGAAGAATTCACAGTAGCCCTGGACTGGTAGCTGTTTCTGAGACCAGGGTGGAATCTAGACACATAGAAAAAACGTTGTGAAAATGCTTTTTTAAAAAAGAAAACTATTAAGTAGTGGGTGGGCATAGCAGTCGGCAGAGAGATTTCTCCATTCAAAGCAGATGCTCTACCACTGAGCTATGCGCCTCCCCAACTGCAGCCTTTTCCCCGAATCTCATCCTTTATATCTCATTCTTTATAGTAAGCCGGCCTGATTTTATAGGCAGCCAGCTGTCAACATTGTAACCACAACAACTCGGGGTTTCCCGCCTAAATTAACTTACGTGGACCTGAGTGAAAACTATATACACAATACCCCTGGTGGCCAGGGTGAGAACTTCAATACATAACAAAAACTTTTTGAAAAAATATATTGAATTTGCCATAGCTCACCTACGCCACCTAGTGTCACATATGTGTAATGCACTTTACAACACACTTAAAACTTAAAGCTATATAAACCTCATGGAGCTGTTTTGGGGATAAAAAGGGGGGTGAATACACCTTCACCTGCACTAGATATATCCGTTGCTAGGATCAGGGGTACAGCTTACCTGGGCTCCCCAATATTTTATTCAAGTTGGCGCCCATCAAAGAAAAGGCAGCATCTTGACTCATGAAGGCACACCAGGTTCTGCCCAACATCGCGGGTGCCCGGCGTACGTGTTTAATGTTGCATGCCCCACGTGTGGCATCATTCGCTGGGAGGAGCCCCCGTGTGCCCTCCTAGTGGCCAGCTGGGGCCTGCCATGGCTGCAACAGGCTGCTCCGGGCCCTCCTGCTGCTGCGATGAGCTGTGATGGAGCCCACCTGTCTGTGGAGTATTAAGAGGGTCTGGTCCCCTCATTGAAAATTTTGTTGCAGCCACGGCCCCGCAGAGCCCCTATGCTTCAGGCTTATTGCCTGATCAGACCCTGCAGCCAGCTGTCTTAGGATATTGCATGTTTCCTTATACAGAGACAGTTAATCCAGCTAGTTCTGTCTGCGCTGAAAGGTAGCAGCTTTCGAGGGTTGCAGACAGCCCTACCTGGAGATACCAGGGATTGAACCTGGGACCTTCTACATTCAAAGCAGATGCTCTACCACTGAGCTATGCGCCTCCCCAACTGCAGCCTTTTCCCCGAATCTCATCCCTTTTGTGGAAATTGGGTGTGCCTCTGCTGTGCTTCTTTCTCCCTGAAAAGCTGTGTCTTTACCACTCTCCCCTGACCTCCAGAGGCCCTCGTAGGCCGAGGTGCTTGAAGGCTCCTCAAAGTACATAAGCCAGTGCCGCTTCTGTTCTTGAGATCAATGTCAGAGACACCCTCCTTGACCCAGCAAGGAGGTCGCTTGCCCCTCGGACAAGAAGCTGGGACGGTATCTCGGTGTGACTGCTGCGAGATTGCCTTGTTATCATAGGGACTAAGGTGGAATCATCTCAAACAACAAGGAAAGCAAACAAAACCCAGATACTCCGTTCTGTTGGCAGAGCTCTAAGAAACTAGCTAATGTATACTTGCTAAGACAGCAGTTCTAACTAAACTCAGTGCAGAGCAAACATGCTGAGGCTCGTATTCCATACTAGCTAAATATTGTTAAAATAGGGCGTCCTACTCTATTATTATTATTATTATTATTATTATTATTATTATTATTATTATTTAAAGGTAAAGGGACCCCTGACCATTAGGTCCAGACATGACCGACTCTGGGGTTGCGGCGCTCATCTCACTTTACTGGCCGAGGGAGCTGGTGTACAGCTTCCAGGTCATGTGGCCAGCATGACTAAGCCGCTTCTGGCGAACCAGAGCAGCACATGGAAACGCTGTTTACCTTCCCGCCGAAGCGGTACCTATTTATCTACTTGCACTTTGACGTGCTTTCGAACTGCAAGGTTGGCAGGAGATTATTATTATTACTACTACTATTTAGCATTAGTAATATTAGTAGCATTAGTAGTATTATACTCTGGGTGGCTTCCAACATATATAAAAACATAATAAAACATTAAACATTTTAAAACTTCCCTATACAGGACTGCCTTCATATGTTTTCTAAAGGTTGCATAGCTACTTATTTCCTTGGCTCAGGGGTCGCTTAACTCCATACCTGCCAACATTTCTCTGATGAAAATAGGGACGTGCCAAGGAAAAGCGGGACATTCCGGATCAAATCAGAAACCAAGACGGCTTCTGTAAATTTGGGACTTTCCCTGGAAAACAGGGACACTTGGAGGGTCTGTTATCAATATCTATGCCTTGAAGCTGAAGTTGGTGAGTTGGGTTTGGGTGGGTATTTTGTTTAATTGGTTGCGGGAGTCATAGAGGCATTGCCTGTTTTCTTGGAAGCAAGGGAGGTTATTTACCAAAGGCCGGGGGGCGAGAAACTATTTTCAGCCCCAGGGGTCCATTTGGCTTGGCCACGGGCAGGGGCATAGGAAGGTGGGGTGGAGGGGGCGGGTCGCCCTGGGTGCCATTCTGGTAGGGGTGACAAGATGGCCCCTGCCTCCTCCCAGCTGTAGAGCGGTCAAGGGTGCCCACAGTCCATATGGGCGCCGCTTGCGCGGCATCCGTATGAGCTGCTGCTCTCTCGCGACGTCCATACAGACTGCCTCTTGCATGGCATCCGTACAGCCGCAGCGCACGAGTGGCAGCCCATATGCAGCATCCCGTATGGTCGCCACACATGCACAGTCCGTACGAGATGCCGCTTGCATGGCATCTGTACGGGCTGTTGCACATGCGCACTCCATACAAGATGCCGCTCGCGCAGCAGCCTGTACGGTTGCCATGCAAGCGGCAGCCTGTACAGCCGCTGCGAGTGAGTGGCAGCCCGTGTGGAGTGCGCATGTGCAGCATTCCGTACGGAGTGTGCATGCATGGGATGCCGCACATGCGCAGTCCGTATGGGCTGCGCCACCCCAGGCGCCAGAGAGGCTTCCTCCGCCACTGGCCATGGGTGGACCTACTATGAAACTACAGAAACTTAACTTCAGAACCCCTAAACCCAGAGGAACCAGAGAAGAGATTTTAGTCCATATTGCTTACAAATTATTCTTAGAAACATGCACCATGCATGTATACAGTGGTACCTCGGGTTACAGATGCTTCAGGTTACAGACGCTTCAGGTTACAGACTCCTCTAACCCAGAAATAGAACCTCGGGTTAAGAACTTTGCTTCAGGATGAGAACAGAAATCATGTTCCGGCGGCGCAACGGCAGCGGGAGGCCCCATTAGCTAAAGTGGTGCTTCAGGTTAAGAACAGTTAAGAACAGACCTCTGGAACAAATTAAGTTCTTAACCAGAGGTACCACTGTATAACAATTCCCTAATTTTTAAGACCTCTCACTCAAGAAATTTGCAAAAAATAAGCTCCACCCCCAAATGACACACCCTACTATTGAGTACAAGCTCTCATTACAACTCTAATGTATTGATTATTGATGCAGAGTTGAATCAAAAAGGCTATTCTAGAATGAGAACAAAAGGTGGTACAGGTCTTCTCAAACGAAAGGGAGAAAGATGCTCAAAGGAAGGGATATTTATACTCAAATTTTCCTTTGAAGGAGTCTGTTTTCCCCTGTACTTTCTCAATTATCAAATAAAACCAGCACTACATTCCACAAAACATCCAGCTACATGAAAGGATTTGCTAGCTCCTATAGCAAAAAACAAACATTGCTACTTCTGCAACACTTTTGATTATACACAGTCTACTATCAGGAAAGCAAAATAATTTTAGCAGCATCTAATGAAACTACAGCAGATGCAAACAATTGCTATTAATAAAAAAAAAGCGTATCTGCAGAGAAGTATCATAGACATGTTGTCAAAACTGAAATGATACACAAGAACGTGTCCGGTTCACAACTGAGCATACCAGAAGTACAGTGGTGCCTCGCAAGACGAAATTAATCCGTTCCGCGTCTCTTCGTCTTGCGGTTTCTTCGTCTTGCGAAGCACGGCTATTAGCGGCTTAGCAGCTATTAACGGCTTAGCGGCTTTAAGAAAAAGGAAACAAACTCGCAAGAACTCGCAAGACGTTTCGTCTTGCGAAGCAAGCCCATAGGGAAATTCGTCTTGCGGAACGACTCAAAAAACGGAAAACTCTTTCGTCTAGTGAGTTTTTCGTCTTGCGAGGCATTCGTCTTGCGGGGCACCACTGTATCAATGTTAAAAACAAGTGAACAAAACTTGTTTAACTAATGTATAAAAGTGGCTTGATTAAGTCAGGCCAGTTCAAGCTTTTCTTATTCTAATAGGGGACATAAGTGTAGTGGTTCAAGACAGAGAATGGGGAGCTGTGATGAACAAGTCTGGTATGCAAGCCTGCAAAGATAGAAAGATGCCCCTTTTTCACATTTTAATATGTTTAATTGTATTGCATTGTGGGCAAGGAATATCAGCCAGAGAATCTGATCTAGTGCTTTTGAAAGCAGTCCCAATGGTTACAAAAACAGGTTTAGAAGTGGGAATATTTGCCACAGTATTATACACATACAGTGGTACCTCGAGTTAAGAACTTAATTCTTTCTGGAGGTCTGTTTTTAACCTGAAACTGTTCTTAACCTGAGGTACCACTTTAGCTAATGGGGACTCCCACTGCCGCTGTGCCGCCAGAGCACAAGTTCTGTTCTCATCCTGAAGCAAAGTTCTTAACCCGAGGTGCTACAGTGGTACCTCGGGTTACAGATGCTTCAGGTTACAGACTCTGCTAACCCAGAAATAGTAGCTCGGGTTAAGAACTTTGCTTCAGGATGAGAATAGAAATCGTGTGGCAGCGGGAGGCCCCATTAGCTAAAGTGGTACCTCAGGTTAAGAACAGTTTCAGGTTAAGAACCTGAACGAATTAAGTTCTTAACCTGAGGTACCACTGTATTTCTGGGTTAGCAGAGTCTGTAACCTGAAGCACCTGTAACCTGAAGCGTCTGTAACCCGAGGTACCACTGTAATATATAATTCTGCATAATTTTTTAAAAAATATTTTTTATTGCTATTAACATATAAATTATAAAATTATAAAATGTACCACAAAACTTATACAATCTTTTTAGACTTCCATCAGCACCTCTGATGCTCCACCATTTTAACCACTTCTTATGCATTTCTTAACAAATCATCCTTCCCCTTCTCCATTTTTGCAATACTTCCAATAATACTCCTCACAAAACTTCTTGCAAACCTACAAACGTCATCTGATCTTCACAAATACTTTTCAAATAGTCCGTAAATTTACTCCAGTCTTCCGTGAATTTCTGGTCCCGCTGGTTTCGAATCCTTCCTGTTAGTTTATCTAGTTCTGCATAGTCCATTAACTTCATCCTCCATTCTTCAATCGTCGGTAATTCTTCTTGCTTCCATTTTTGGGCCAATAATATTCTTGCTGCTGTTATTGCATATAAAAAGAGGTTACATTCCTTTCTATTTATATCACTCCCAACAATGCCCAATAAGAATGCTTCTGGTTTCTTTATAAATGTATATTTCAAATATATAATTCTGCATAATTAGTTGGGTTTCTTTTATTTTTTAAAAAATGCAAAGTGCAAGTAGCACAGGTGTACAATGCCAGAGGTGTTCTGACGTGGGCAAAGCTCAATCAGGTCAGAACAGCCAATTTCCATATAGAAATCCAGAAGCCGACAAAAGCCTGATTTGCAGTTCCTGTCTGAAAAGCTTCTTGCAGGTTTCTGAGCTCAGGGAGGTGGCTTCAGAGCACAACTCTGGAGTACTCTCGCACTGCCCCTATTGCAACTTCTGTCGCTCCTTAATAAAGGCATGAACAGTCTAAAGTGATACGATAAATAAATTTCCCCGAAAAGCTGCTGCTCTTCAAAAATATCCTCTGCTTGAAAAATGCTCAAACTTTCCTGATAATGGTGGCGCAAGTCAGCACCGGAATGCTGAGGGGACGACTAGGGCTTTGTCCTGGGCATTAGATTGTCTGCACAATTCCACAAAATGTTTTCAGAAATGGTTGAAATAGAAGGAGCCTGGAGGTTTGAAGTAAATGGCTGAAGCTCAGCAGGAATGTATTTATTTATTGTGAGAAATAGCAGCGAGCATGGCTTTGGCACTTAAAGTTTTCAAAGCATGACACATGCATTATCTCAGCA